CAGATGGAAGTCACTATCGATGATCTGCAATCAGCGAGAAACGCAATCGCAGGTGGTGCATCAAGATTGGAAGTTTGCTCTATGCTGTCCGAGGGTGGTCTAACACCCACTATCGGCTTTTTCAAATTCATTTCACATATGTCACTGGTACCATGCTACGCTATGCTTCGATCACGACCCGGAGATTTTGTATACATCAAAGAGGAAATAGAAATTATGCTATCGGATTTAAATGTATTCAAGAAAAGCGGCGTTGACGGTTTCGTTTTCGGCGCATTGACGCGAGACGGCGAGATTGACGTAAAGGCTTGCCAATTAATTCTGTCTGCTGCTCAACCATTGCCAGTAACCTTTCATCGAGCCTTCGACCAAGTGAATGATCCAATAAAATCCTTGCGAACCTTGATAGATCTTGGTTTTAAAAGAGTTCTGACTTCTGGACAAAAAGACACTGCCGAAGAGGGATTGGAATTAATAAAGAAACTCGTTGACGAGGCGCAAGATAAAATCATTGTGATGGCAGGTTCTGGTATTACGAAAGATAACATATCGAAGATACATTCGCAATCTGGAGTGAAAGAGTTTCACGCATCTGTTAGACAGAGGCTGGAAACTGGGCGTCCTGTAAATAAAGTTAAAATTGGCGCTAATGAAAATACTTTTATCATGGAGACTGATAAGAAAATGGTTGAAGCAATGGTTGCTCTTGTTGGTCCAGTCACTTATGAACAGCGCCTTTCCTTAGTAACGTAATCGTTTCGTTTCCTTAAATAACAGAATTTACTTGCAAACACGAAAAACGAACATACTTTAGAAATTTTTATAAATAAAGGAAAATTTTCAAATTATTTGTACATGAATCTTAATCCTAATAAAAACTGTTAAAACTGGAATCATGCTTCCGAAGTAAATTACAACATCTCAGCGTTCCTCAGCGAAGTGCGAAAACGATGAAAAAACGCGATAGTATGAGTTGTGCAATTTTGAAACAGAGCAAAAAGAACTATTATATTACTAATGCAAATTATGAGTAAATAATTTTAGTTTTATGAAAAAAGTCAGTCATGGTTTATAAAGATATAATTTTCTATCGCGATAAGTATTGCAACATCAACGCGAACATTCTCAAAATACAAATGCATTCTTCTGTATAAATAAGTTCAGCAGATGTCATTATCATTCGCGTTTAAATTGTAATAGCTTCACAGTACCTACGGGTACACATAAATAGAATTTGCGTTACGTGTTCGAAATATGCATGAGATAAGATTGCCTATTTCATGTCGCGGAAAATAGAGAACAATGGTTCGATGATTCAGAACCTATGAAATCATCTTGAGGCCCTTATGCATGCAGGAAATTAATTCGCTGGGATTCTCTCTTCAGGAATTTTGACAACTTCTTTTTCGAAATTAATTATCGCTCCAATCACATTATTCTAAATCTGTGCATATGCACCTGAAGTTGATTGCTCTTTTAATTTCTATAGACACCAAATAGAGCCATTCTCTTGCACAATTGAAATCAAAAGTCATTAATGAAATTTCAGAAGTTATCAACCCTATTAAATTTCCTTGTCATAACTACCCTGGTAATAAAACAAATGTATATATAATGTATCGTATGTTCATAATTTTATCTTATCTATTCTCTCTCTCTCTCTCTCTCTATATCTTCTAACCATCTATAATGTTACAACCTACTATTATTGCTTCATTCTTAATGAGTTTTTTAAACCAGTTTTAAGCCAAAAAGATTGTATTCTAAAGCGGAAGTAGTCGATTATCACAGTATCATGACTGCAGGTTTTTACAGCATCGTCCAAGTACGGATGTCGCAAGCGATGCATTAATTTCGCGGCGAATATCTTTCCGATTCTTACCAATTTGGAATTGCAAAGGTTTTACGCAACAGGTCGATGCATAAGGGGTCCTCGCACGCGGAAGATGACGGCATTGGCGACCAACTGCAGCCAGCGCACTTTCGATTTGCGACACAACGTGAAGAAAAGTGCGTATAGACACGCACACATTGCCACCTGCCTCGCAGCCTGTAGAATCGAAAGCTACTTGGGGCATGTGTACGTATAAAAAAAAAGGACACGCACGAGCGTAGAATCGATGTGTAAGTTCGTAACGCTTGTATGGTTTCGTGGTGCAATCACAAGCGTTCTTGGTGTGCGCGTGCTCGCGCGCATTAGCATCGGTGAATGGGAATTTGAAAATAGCCTCGAAAGGTTGGAACGAACGAGGAGGAAACACATGTTTCAAAACCTAACGTTAATGCTTGGTTTCGCAAGGAATTTCTGTTTTTCTTTTTCTTTTAATGTATACTCCCAGCCATTCTTCAAAACGTCCGAGAGAAATGTCACGAACGATTGATTATTAATTACACGATAATAGAGAATTGGATAATATTAGAATTACCTTGATAACAAAACATATTAAAGAGCAGTAGGTTTCCCTACTGAAAGACAACAGATTCTCTGTCTTGAGAAACAAACTTCGACACTCACCGAGAACGAAATGGCGCGCAAGAGCAAAAATCAAATCTGTTCGATCTGTCGTTCGAGTAATTTCGAATATTGTTGAATCGCAGACAGGATCGCCGCGGCGGCCGATCTGAAAGAACTATGCAAATGAGTGATCGGATAGTGAATCGTTAATGAATCGTTTAAAGTCGGTCGACAGGTTTCTTACCTGCGGAAGGGATAAAGAAAAACACGATCATCGGAATGTGGCACAAAGGATCAAGGGGTCGAGTTTTTTAGCAATGCTGCCAACTGCTTCAGCGCCCATGAGTGGACCGATAGAGAGTGTATTTACCGGCAAGTGGACGCGCGCGCGCGCGCGCGCATACCCCTGCAAGGTGCGTTGGCCTAGAGAACGTGTGTTGGTATGTGGACACACACGACCGCCGGTGGCTGCGTGTTATTGCTCAACTGGACTCTTCTCTCAGTGTGAGAAAGACGTTCAAACCGTTCGGGCGCCTCAGAGACCTCGTCCTTCCCTTTCTGTAAACCACTGCAGTACACGGGTATCATCATTTCGTTTTGGATTCTCTTTGTTTCACCTCGCGACGGTCCAGCCATTCTCCTCGCGTATTTCATCCGAAAGGAGAATCAGGAATTATATTCCGCGAACGCATCCTCGTTATTCGTTCTGGAATGCAAGATTATTTTCTATCATTGAATGTGTGACAGTGTACGTAAAACTTGCACGCCGAGATAAATCTTTCACCTACGTGCGAAAACACCCGATTCGATTCACGTTGTGCGCAGACATGTTCAAAAGTAACAACATTGCCGTATCGTATTACATGTGTTATCAAGATTTCACAGGGCTCTGAGATATACATATATATATATATACACAGATATAAGAACAATTATATTATTCGCTATACGTCAGAGATATTGTTGAAATATAAAGCAGAAGACGCCGATATCATCGAGGTAACTTTGCCAATATTTTAAAATAGGTACACCGCACAAATGACACGTAATACTTTGGTGCAGAAATCGCGCGAGAAATCGATGTCATCCGTTCGAGATTCGACTCTCCGAAAGCATCGAATCGTGAGAGACTACCTACAATACGTACTGTATATCCAATTTTCTGGTGACATGGAATGCATATTATAGTACTTCCTCTTTAATAAACGCCGGTGGTTGCAATGTGTCATTGATTTCATACGTATTACGATATTATAGGCGTGCTTGGTCTTATGAAATCAAAAAGGTGACAAGTGAAGCCGAAGTGTAACGACGAAGCAATTGGAAAAGTCATACGGGTATTAACCTACAATTCACCGTGTATGCAGTATTGTCAGTTGTATGTATGTATGTATGTATCTGACAGTTTGAATAGAAATATCCCACAAACTTTCATAGTTTACAAAATCCTCTGGTTGACCTACTTTCGTTCGAGACCAATAAATGAGAGCATACATTCTCTTAAAAATCTTTCTGTTCCAAATCGGATATATCGAACTGTACGGTACACCCCCGCATATACGTTTAACGCAGTGTGCGTATCAGATTGTATATATACGATCTTCAATACCGACCGATGGGAAACAAATTGACAGCTGTCGTACAATTTAACTTGGAAATACTAATCGGGACAGTTTTTCATGTCTGGCAAAAGACGCATTCGCATACTGCATTTATGAAAATCAAATACCAGGCGATCACGTGGTCGCGTGATTTATAACGCTTGTCGTGCCATTGGCACTTTTTATATCATCTAAAGATATATTATGAAAGACTTTAACTAATATCGAGTTGTATCTCTAACAGAAACATGTGGCATCAGAATATCAAAACAGGAATACTAAAAAGGATTAAAGAAAATGATCGAGACGAAAATACAATCACGACAAGGTAGATCAGTAGAGACTTTCGATTTTTTTGAATACGACACGAGCAACCTGAATGAGGCTTGAATAATCCGAGTTACGTGTGCAGCAACGAGAACTGCATATCTATGGCGTATTTTGGTCGATCGTGTCGTTTATTCACGTGGCGCTGGGTAAATCAGATCCGTTCACGGTCCTAACGGTGTATTTCCATTTTTCTTTCTTTTCGACCAATGATCGCGCGGATCGACACAACGAGAACGAAATCCCAACTTTTACCAGTTTTATATAAGATGTAATAGAGGGGAATTTGTACGGCGCGGAATAGCAATTAAAACTTGTCGTGTAACGTAGATACGTGCAACACTTTCTCATAACACGAATGCGTAAACTGCATAAAATCGCCACGCGAATACAACCGCACTAGTGGTCCACGCGTAATTCGAGCGACATCTTTGTCTTCTTTCTGTAGTTTAAATGTAGTTTAAATGCCGACATTTATTTTAGTGAACATTTTATTTTATGCTGTTTGATGAAAAACATCAAGGAAAATGTCTACAAAGTAGTCGACTTACATTGTGAATTCACATTTATGCGCATATGAATAAGAAAATGGAGCCTATATTTTCATCTATTAATAGTATTCATTTCATCTATTAAATCACAGGTAAGTTCGCCGAAAGGTATTTTCAGTTGAAGCTTTAAGCACTTACATTTTAATGTAACTGCGTTGCTACGTGGAAACAATATTTTTCACTTGTTGACTTGCTGTTTTATTTGAACTCTCATCGTTTGTATAGCTATTCCTGGAAGTTATATAGATATTTCCTGACTTGATAGCCAATTACTCGCTTTACATTACGGTCACGTGTCGTTATACGACTGTATTTGTCGTTTGAAGAGATTCCGAAGAAATCAATCGTTTTTTAAACTAGTTCTTTTACTTGCAGGTTTTCGAGTGAAAATTTTGAGTTATCGCTTGCCGATACAATTTTGTAAATAAATACACGACCGCGATTAGTGCATTTAATCGCTAATTACTCGGCTTAGATGAGTGCAGCGCGTAGAATAACAAGCGAATCGATCGTCGACCGTATCCACCTCGCATTTTGGTGGCACTTCCGCTTTGACCGACGGAAGCTCCACTTTCTTACGCGGTCAACGACGTGCACGCTACTCGTGAAACACAATGGGACGATTATCTGAACAGTTAGACAGTCTAATTCCACGAGAAGAGAATTAGAACTCAAAGTCACGATTCGCAAGTCTTTAGTTGAAATCTTTTCAAAACAATTTCAAACCATTAATTACACATTGTAGCAGTGATTTTTCAATTATTATCGTTTCTGGATCAAAGATCCGTTTAGAATCCCACGGTCGAGTGGCAACGGTCTCGATCGTCACGAAGCATAACGAAATTCTTTCCTCGGAAGAAACCTCCGAACTTCAACTTTTGAAAACATCATCAGTTCAGAATTCAAGATTTGATTTCCTTACACTGTCCTCCGTTCGTAGATTTTTTTCCATTCCAATAACTTCGAAGGTTGCCACTTACCGATCTATCTTTGCATAACAGATTTTCCTTTCTTTTTTTTTTTTTTTTTTTTCTTCTTCTTCTTTACCTTGACACTAATTTCATAATTCATATCTTGATGCTCGTATACATCAATAATGTCTGTAATTCAAACAGCAGTCTCATTTGTAAAGGCGAAACGAGACGAGACGAGACGAAGTTAGGAGTTATTTCTCGACGAGGAGAAGATCCCGTGATAGCAGCGTGCCAAGGAAAAATCGATATATCATTCTCGAGCCGTCGCATTTTCTATTCCATTGACAAATTGTTATACAGTACGCTTTCTGCGTAATGATCTAACCAAGGCGCGCTGCGCTGCTCGTACAAGATACGTGAAACAGTTTCACTTTCTGCCATTGTCACGAATGGGCACGCAGTTCTCTCCAGATGCACGAATCTGTGCATCTTCCGAAGAAATGGATCTGCTTTCCTAGGCCTGCGAAAGCGTAGAGAAACAATATTCGTTTCTAAACACAATTTAGAGATCGGTACACTTTGGTTTCCCTCTCCGAAGAAGTCATTCCGTTCCGATTGGAATTTATTCGTGAAAACGATATCATTGTCATCCTGTCGATAAAGGATCAATTATCGCGAAACAACGGACTCTCATTTATTAATTCAAGGTTTCTGAAAGCATCCTAAAAATCATTGATAAACCATAATATTACCGTTGTTCGATGGCAAAGTGCATATAAATTTGGCCAATCAATCTCACGTAATATTGGATTTATAAATGTAAGGCTTTAAGAAAATGTTCTAAAACGTATACACACTTGGTCACGTTCACGCGAGATACTGAATGTTCATTTGCATTTAAATTATGGATAAGATATTTGTATATTGGAAATATTCCAAAAATCTCGAACGAAGATACGTATGTGCATTGGTAATAACGATATTTGCATTGGAAATAACTCAAT